GGGGGGGCATGTCAGCATGTCCTGTGCAGCCTGTCCCCGAAGCAGCACCCAGAGGCTGAGCTTAAGGGAGCTTGGTTGCCCCCAGCCTCCATGGCACAGGGCATCCCACTGCCCAGCTCGTACACAAGAAAAATGCTAAGAATGGAAACTCAGCCTACAGTCCCTTAAAACCCTGATGGTGGTCTCGTGCTGAGTTATTTCTGTCTACCCACGGGTAGGAATCTGTGCGTACTCCTTCACCTGACCGCTGGCCCCATGTCTCGGAGGTGGTGTCTCAGCATGGAGGGGAGGGCTGAGGGGAAATGTAGGCAGTTGGAGGCCCTTTGAAGAAACCTGTTTGCAGCCTTTCTGCTGCTGGAGGAGATGGAAAGGTGCCAGGAGCAGGTGACGTGTGGTGGGAAGGGGGTCCCTCAAACCAGGAGCACCACAGGCACATCGGGAGCAACTGTGTACAATTAAGCTATTGCTGCGTATAATCACAGCAGGTGTTCAGGACCCTGTTATGTGGTTTCCAATTAATAACCACAGCAAACACCTGAGATGGCAACTGTTAGTGAAACCCACGCAGGCTCATAGTCTCTCTGAGATAAAAGATGGGTTCAGTCTCCAAAGCTGCGGGCTGGTTTTGTCACTTATGTGTGAGCCTACCGATAGAAGCAGTGGTAGATGCCATGTTTGCTTCAGGCTGAGGTTTTGCCTCCAATCTCCAACACAGCTGCTGCCTCCATCCCCCTGTTCCTGCCCCGTGGTCCCCCAGGCGCTCCTCCGCTACTCCTCTGCCCAGTAGCACCCAGTGATTCCTGGTTCAAATAAGGGCATGTGGATTTGCTCTTTCCCTCCTTCCCCCACATCCCCTGCTCCAGCATACCTTAATGGGTGTTTGTCCTCTGAGCACCCTCTTGCTCCCTCCTGTTTCGACGGGTCTCAGGCCAGCCTTGTTCCTCTCTTTGCCTGCATCCCTGTATTGGCAACTGCAGCCAGCATGATTATTTGGTTTCTCCATTTTAGAAAGCAAGCTTCGGGTAGCTACAAAAGAGAGCTCTGTGGAAATTGCCGGCGGTGCTGACACAGCCATTGAGTGCAGAATCATGTTTGCCCAGAATAATTCCCAGTTCGCTGTTACCTGGTACCTCCTACCTCCTCCTCCAGCAGATGCAACCCCCCTGCAAATTGTAAGGGCCGACTACAGCAGCGTACTGAAATACGGGGCTGAGTTCAGCTCCCCTGCACAAAAAACCCGGTTCCTGAGCCAGAGGGTGTCCAGCAATGTTTTCTGGCTGTGGATACTCTCTGCAAGCCCTGGGGACCAGGGCAGGTACTACTGTGTGGTAGAAGAATGGCTCTGGCTGGCAGATGACTGGTACAGACTTGGAGAGGGAGCATCAGGAAGAACGACACTGGAATTCAAGCTCCCAGGTGAGTAGGCAGTTGTCTCTTGTACGGGTGCCACTGGAGAAGGTTGGATCAATTTACGAGGGGGGCCCTGCCAGGCCTCTCCTAAGCTGGCAGAGCTTAGGAGAAGCTGCAGTTCCCTGTGTTGTATCTGACACTTAGGGGTGCGAGAGTTGTCAGTGCATCTCAAAAGCAAATAGGGAATTAGGAGGATTTACCACATCCTCCCAAACCAACCAAGCTGGTATTTTTGCCACTGGCAGATGATGTCTAATGCTTCGTAACAAAGCAAATCATAGTGTTTTCTTTTCCCTCCAACACATGGTGCACTTGGTTGTACAGTGCTATGAGTAGAGAAGCAGCCTTTTCCTGGTACTCTTGAGTATCGTGAAGCAAGACACTCAGTTTCTTTACTCCGCAGCACATTGCTGCTGAGAACAAAGCTGAAGGCTTGGCTACTCCTGCCTTGGGCACTGCACTGCTGGGGTGCACAGTGGGTCTCCCTGGCTCAGTTCTTCCTTCTCTCAGCCTCACTTGGGTTGCAGCCCTAAATAAAGTGGATTGGAGAATTCCAGCTTCCTAAATAGCTTTTGGTCCAAAGGATGCTTTACTACTTGATTGGAGGGGGTGGGAAGTATTACAGCAGAGGGATGTGGAGAGGGGGCAGAGATGATGGGGCTTGGGGGACGTCCCAGGGAGAATGAGTCACAGGAGCACAGGGCCTGTGGGTGTCCTGCAGAGGCTTTTATAAGAGGTTATCCCAATCCCCCACGCTTTGCTCTAGAAGATTTCCTTCAGCCTGTGGACGTGGGCAGGAGCATTTCTATGGCAGTGCAACACCACATCTCTTTCTGCTTGCATCCTACCCCAGGGCGCGAACTGCAGCTTGAGAAAACCAACCACAGCATCTCAGCAAGGGAGGGCGAGGAGGTGACACTGCGCTGCCTGCTGCAGGGTGCCCACCTGCCTGCCACCCGCCTCTCGGCCACCTGGTTTCGGGGAGTGGCCATGCCAAGGCCCTGCTCACCCTCCACCATGATGGCACCATCGAGTACTCCCAGGAGACCCTGGCCAGGAGGCTGCACATGCGCCGCCCCGCTGCCGGCAACTTCAGCCTGACGCTGTGCAGTGTGGAGGAGGGTGATGCTGGGGTGTATCACTGCCAGGTGCAGGAGTGGCAGCAGCAGAGCGAGGGGAAGGACGGGGCTCTGCAAGCCTTGGCATGCTCAGGGTACACCCAGCTCACAACCATCCCACCAGGTAATGCTGCTGGATGTGAGGAGGTGCTCAGCCCGCACTGGTTCCCCCTTAGCTGGGCTGGGGTGTGTGTGGGAGACAATAGCAGCTCTCTGCTGGCAGTGCCGGCTGCAATGCAAGGATGCAGCAGGGCCAGGAGGACTTGCTAAGGGATAGCAGAGGGGGTCAGTGCTGGGGGGATCGTCAGAGTTGTACTGGGAGCCAGAGGGAGGGAGGGGAGGCCTTCAATGGACAGATGCTATGGGCCTGGTGGGGGAGGCGATGGGATCCCATTGCCAGTCTTGTTGATCTGCCAGGGCTGAAACCCAGGTGCTTAGCATTGTGCATGTTGGAGGTGGTGGTCAGATCAGATATTGAGAGCTCTGACTACCAGGCCTGTGGTCCAGAGGGTGCCATTGAGTGCACTCATGTCTGCAGTGCTTTGCAGCTTGTTGGCTTCCCTGTGGGACCATACGCACAAACCCCTGCTGTCAGTTGTGCCATTAAGGCCGGAATGCTAACTCTTTTGGGGAAAAAAATTCTTGGTGTGATTTTTCTGGCAAGTTCATCTCCAATGACGTCTCTAAAAACAGCCTCTGTCCTTTTGGGGTGAGTTGGGGTGCATGCCTGGTGCAAAGATAGAGCTGGATTCTACATACAGACTTTTAAATAAATAAAAGTAAAGGTTTCAGTCAGGCACACACAGTGTTTTTAGGGAGGTAACGGGCAGGAAAAAAGTGCTCTTTGTTGCCTCTTTGGGGAAATAGGAGGCTCGGATGACCCTTGTGCAGGAAAAAATACGATCTTTGAAATCAGTCATGTTGCACACGGCTGAGAGGATCCCACAGTTCTTCTCATGCCTTCAGCCCTGGAGTTGCCATGCCTGATGCCAGCCTGGGTGCCTACATGTGGTTATAGCTTCTACAGCAATTACCAATGCTGATGGATGTGGAAGAGCTCAGGGGACCCTGTAGAGCCCTCCCTTGTGCCTGCTCCTGGTACAGGCAGGCATGGAGCCTAGTCCCATGACTCTGCACCTACAACAGCAAATCTTTAATTGCACAGGGAGGGACTGACAGCGCTTCATCCGTCTGCTGTTATGTTCCTGCTGTTGTCCATCACTACTCCCTCTAACACTCAGATTTCTCCTTCATCAGCTCCCTTTGTCTCTTGTTACCCATTACTGGTGGAGTAACCATCTCTAAAATTGCTCAGTAACTGCTGGAAAATCTCCTCCAATTTTTGTATGTGTTTTTGCCCAGTGGTTTTCACGGTTTTCACAAAATCTGAGAGATTAGCTGGGTGTTTTTTCTTTCTTTCTCGTTTCCTTTTTTTTTTCCTGGCGTGTGTGTGTTTCTCCAGTGATGCAGGTATCTTGAAATGCCCCTCCGGATCACGAATTTCAGAGTTTTCCAAGGGGTCCTGCCACAACCACGTGCAAATATACCCATAACCAGGAGTAACTTCAGCTCTAGTCCCTAATGCTGCCTCTTAGGATACCTCCCTAATCCTATAGAGGCAT